GGGTGCTTTTGTTGGGGAGACAGACGGGCTGAGCGCCCCACACCACGGTGCCCCGCCCGGGCCACCCCACCAGGCGGCCGCACCTTCTTCTCGTGGTTGGGGATGATGCAGCGGACGAAGTTGGGGTTGGTGTTCCTGAGCGTGGCCATCAGCTTGGCCAGCTGCTCCTTGTAAAGCTGCCCCACGGTACGGAACATGCCCTTCCGCGTCTTGAAGGCACCGGGCAGCGCCGTCTCCGACATGCCGGCCACCTGGTCCAGGCCAATGATGCGGTCCACTGTGGAGACCACAGAGACCAAGTGAGTGCCCCCGCAGCTGCACCCAGAGGAGGGGGAGCACGCAGGAGAGAGAAACAGGCACACATGGGACAGGAAAAGAGGAGACAGAATGAAACAACAGGACCCTTTCCACTTGGAGCCTACACAGGGTGCTAAGGTCATCCCCAAACACAGCAGAAAGCCAAGAGGGCTGCAAAGGCACTGGGCTTGTCTCTCAGGGAGCCATGCGTCTGCCACGGCCACCTCACCTTCCCATCACCTACCTTCCGCCACTCTCGAAGCTCTTATTTCCAAAAAGACTCAATGAAGCTAGTCAAGTATTTTGGAATAGTGAGAATTCTACTAGCCTGTCTCTAAGGAGGGGTGTGAAAACCTGGCTTACGGAATCCTGCTGTCCTATGGTCACAGTTAGAAAAAAAAAATCAGTATCTTGAATTCTCACTGACCCTGTCGTAAAAGCACCAGGCTAGGAGTCAGGAGGCGGAGATTGGAGCCACCCTGTCACTGTCTGCAGAACTCAGCAGGGTCCCCTCTATGTCTACGCAGACATCTCAGGAAGAGAGAGCTCCAAAGAACCGCTCTTGATCATAAATACTCCAAAGTTTAGGGATCTCTTCACGTCCTTGTATTTCATTTTGTCTCCTGGTGCACGGGTCTTTCTCATGTTAACCGACCCTCAAGGGAAGCAGCCCCTAGCACTGGAACTCACGCCCAGTAGCAATTAAACCAACTGCATCCTCCAAGGTAAAAAACAAGCCAAACCAAAGTGGCCAGTGATTTGAGATCAGTTTAAGCAAGAGCTAATGTTAAATGTGAAGTCTTCCATTACTGGATGTCAAAGTGAAGAATACTGACGAAGCCCGTTTTGTATTCCTTCACGGCCAGGTTACTATTATTTACTTGAAGACAGCAAAAAGGATGCTTGCTTAAGACAGAAGCCAGGAGTGTGGATGGAGCCTACAGACCAGTCAATTAAAATGGGAGGTGGCTGGGAGTGGTGGCTCGTGCCTGTAATCCCAGCACTTTGGGAGGCTGAGGCAGGTGGATCACCTGAAGTAAGGAGTTCGAGACCAGCCAGGCCAACATGCTGAAACCCCATTTCTACTAAAAATACAAAAATTAGCTGGGCGTGGTGGCAGGCGCCTGTAATCCTAGCTACTTGGGAGGCTGAGGCAGGAGAATCGCTTGAACCCGGGAG